TGGAGAGGGTGCAGAGGAGGTTCACCAGGATGTTGCCTGGTATGGAGAGCGCTAGCTATGAAGAGAGGTTGAGTAGATTAGGATTATTTACTTTAGAAAGATGGAGGTTGAGGGGGGACCTGATTGAGGCCTACAAAATCATGAGAGGTATTGACAGGATGGATAGCAAGAAACTTTTTCCCCCCAGAGAAGGGGGACTCAATTACTAGGGGCCACGATTTCAAGGTGAGAGGGGAAAAGTTTAAAGGGAGATATGCGTGGAAAGTTCTTTACGCAGAGGGTGGTGAGTGCCTGGAATGCGTTGCCAGTGGAAATGGTAGAGGCGGGCACGATAGCGTCATTTAAGACGTATCTGGACAGATACATGAATGGGCAGGGAGCAGAGGGATACAGATCCTTGGAAAATGGGCGACAGGTTTAGATAGAGGATCTGGATCGGCACAGGCTTGGAGGACCGAAGGGCCTGTTCCTGTGCTGTAATTTTCCTTGTACTTCGTTATTTTGGCAACTCCAGCATGGTTATTTTTCAATTCATTGATCTAAAATCAGAATAGAATTAGAAATTGCCATATTATCACACGTACTCAAATGAGTACAGTGAAAAGTTTACAAGTCGTCACTTACGGCACCATCTTAGGTATAAAAAGGTACCCAGGTACTGATTCTTAAGTACAAATTCTTAGGGAAAAAGGATTAGAAAAATAAGGAAATAAAAGACCAGCATTACAGATCATAGGAATAAATTAGAAAAATAAAGGAATATGAAGCTCAATAACAGATTAACCTCAAATGAAAATAAACTCAAGCAGAAGTTTCTTTCAGGTGTTATGAATGCAAAATTTCATAACATTGTTAAATTAAAGGGAACAGTTCTGAAATGCAAGGTAAATTTATAGTGCAGCTAAGCACAAACCCACAACTATTTCCATAGCAGCAGATATATGGGAATTTCATCACCTGCACGTTCCCTCCATGCCACTCACCATCCCAACTTGGAAATATATTGCCATTCCTCACTGTCTCTAGGTCAAAATCCTGGCATCTCCTCCCTAAAGGCATTGTGGGTCAACCTACAGCACATGGACTGCAACATTTCGAAGTGGCAGCTCACCATTACCCTGTGAAGGGCAACTAGAGAAAAGAATAAATGCTGGCCAGGCAGCGATGCCCATGTCCCACGAGTGAGTGAAGACGAAGACGAAGACGAAGACGAAGACGAAGACGAAGACGAAGACTAATAATAATAATAATAATAATAATAATAAACTCCTACCATTTCTGCCTAGTGATAGCCGATTATGACATTTCTGTCACAGGGAACCAGGCTCAGATCTAACTCGACTGAAAACAAGATGCCAATTTTTAATACCTGAAAACAAAGGACGTCTTACTGATGCCAGACCTAAGATTCAGAGACACAGCACAGAGACAGGAAAAACTGTGGCTGCTGGAAACAACCAGGGAAGGTGGATATTTTCTGATAGCCACCAGGCAGGATGCTGGAGAGATAGGGACTGTGAAGATTAAAGACTCCTCGAAGATTCACCATGCTATCATGGGGAGTCATCATAGTCACAGCAGAAGTTGGCTCTGGTTTTTCCAAAGACGAAGGGAAATTACTTTCACCGGACATTAGCTCTCAGCAAAATGGGGAGTAACATGCAGGTTGGAAGCTGGGATTTGAACCGATTCTTGTAAGGACTGTGATTATACAGAGTGCAATAGAACATATCAACGTGGCTTGGAGTTTTTGGTCATGTTAGGAAGCTACAGGGGATATCTCTGTCGTTTAGGTATTAGTTACCTACTAAATAGGGTCACAAGTCATGGAAACGGATCCTTCAGTACAACTGGTCCGTGTCAAGACGACATCCCAATCTGACCTAGTCCCATTTCAAGTCAGAGTTGTACAGTACAGAAACAGACACTTCGGTCCAACTCATCCATGCTGACTAGATATCCTGATTAATCTAGTCCCATTTACCAACGTTTAGTCCATATCCCTCTAAACCCTTCCTATTCACATACCCATCCAGATGCCTTTTAAATGTTGTAATTGTACCAGCCTCCATAACCTCCTCTAGCAGCTCATCCCATGCATACACCAGCCCTTGTGTGAGAAAGTGGCCCCTTAGGTCTCTTTTAAATCTTGCTCCTTCCGCTTTAAACCTATACCCTCTAGTTCATGACGCCCCCATCATGGGAAAAAGACCGTGGCTATTCATCCTACCCATACTCCTCATGCTTTTTTAAAAACCTCTATAAAAGGTCACCCCTCAGCCTCCAGAGAAATACAACTCAAACCCGATAGGTATCAACAACATCCTTGTAAATCTTTTCTGCACCCTCAAATTTAACAACATCCTTTCTTTAGAAGGGTGACTAGAATTGCACACAGCATTCTAAAAGTGGCCTCACCAAAGCCCTGTGTAGCGACAACATGATGTCCCAACTCCAATATTCAATGTTTTGATCAATGAAGGCAAACATGCCAAATGCCTTCTTCATCACGCTGTCTACCTGCGACTCCACTTTCAGGGAATAATACACCTACACCCTGTCTCTTTGTTTGGCACACTACCCAGGGCCATACCATTAACTTTACAAGTCCTGCCCTGGTTTCATTACCAAAAAAATGCAGCACCTCATATTTATCTAAACTAGACTCCATCTGCCACTCCTCAGCCCATTGGCCCATCTGATTATCTGTTGTACACTTCACTGTCTACGACACCACCTATTTCGGTGTCACCTACAAACTTACTAACCATGCCTCCAATATACACACCTAATTCATTTATATAAAATGAGGAAAAGCAGTGACCAGCATCGATCCCTGTGGTACACCACTGGTGACAGGACTCCAGGCTGCAAAGCAAAGCTCTACCACCACCCTGTCTTCTACCCACAAGCCAATTTTGCATCCAATTGGCTTGTTCCCCCAGATCTCACGTGATCTAATCTTACTAAACAGTCCATCATGTGGAACCTTGTTGAACACTTTGCTGAAGTCCATATAGACGTGTACTGCTTTTCCTCAATCTTCCGTGTCACCTCTTCAAAAAACTCAATTAAGTTAGTAAGACATGATTTCCCATGCGCAAATCCATGTTGACTATCCTCAAGGCTCACCTGTCCATAGTTCCATGGCTTTTCCTTATAACCTTTCTTAAATAATGGCACATTAGCCAACCTCCAGTCTTTTGGCATCTCCCCCATAGCTGTCAATGAGACAAATATCTCAGCAAGGCCCCAGCAATCTCTTCCCTAGCTTCCGCGAAGTTCTGGGAAACACTTGATCAGGTCCCAGGGCATTTATTTACCTTTATGCCTTTTAAGACTTCTAGCATCTACTCTTCTATAACGTGGGCTCTTTTCAAGACATCACTATTTATTTCCCCAAGTTACCTAGCTTCCATGCCCTTCTCCACAGTAAATACTGACACGAAATGTTCATTTAACATCTCACCCATCTCCTGGGGTTCCACACATAGACAGCCATGTGGATTTTTAAAGGGTCCTATTCTCTCCCTAGTTACTCTTTTGCCCCTAATGTAGTTCTAGAATCTTTGGATTCTCCCTAACTATTCGAAGGTATCTCATGTCCCTTTTTGCCCTCCTAATTTCCCTCTTAAGTATTCTCCTTACTGCCCAAATACTCCTCTAGGGATTCACTCAATCCCAGCTGTCCATCTCTGACATATGCCTTCTCCTTTTTCTTGACCACAGAAAAAATTAATAATGTTTAGTTAATATTAATTTCATTTTGTTCGTTCCAGCAAAATTCTTCAAAAAATGTCACTTGGAACTCAAATCTCTTCAAAAGTTATCGCTGCCTACCGGGATTGCAACATAGGGCAGTAATCTCATCTATTTCAGTCAAGGTTAAGTACAGCATCATCCATTTAGTCTTAAATTCTAAAAAGATGGAATGGAAAGCCATATTGTATTTAGGGTCAGGATAGGATCCCTACCTATAATCTGATCAGAAGTAAAATGCTAAATGATGTTGAAAATCTGAAAGCTGGAAAGTTAAGAGAACCAGAAGTATTTGTTAGAAGTACAAGAACCAGTTTGTTTCAAATACATAAGCATCTGAGGATTCCTGTTCTGGTGACAATTGCATTTATATGGTGCCTTGCACAAATCTGAAAACATTGCTCTTAAGTGCTTTTGAAGGGTAGCCATTGCTGTAACGCAAGAAATATACCAAACATTTTGAGCACTGCAAGAATCCACCAACGTGAAAACATTGACATGATTTGTTTTT